GATATTTCCAATGGACACCATGGAAGCTTTTTATGCAATTGAAATTAAGCTAAAAGATACCAACATTGCAAACATAACTGTAAGATAATACTTATGACCTAGATCATATTAGTTGAATATACAGTTCAATTGAAAATCGGAAAGCAATATAGATAAGTAGAAGCAAATATTTATCTATATTGCTTTCCTATTTTATAACAAACTTCATCTAACCATTTTTAATTTTAGCATAGTATTTTTTTAGTCTATCATATTAAAAGATTACAATACTAGTTTTCTGGTGTTTAGTAAATTTTCTGTATGCAAATTAGCGATTATACAATAAATTTTTATTTTGTTTTAAAAAAAACTTTTTTTGATAAAACGAACTTTTGTTATAAGTAAGTTTTTCGGTATGTTTAAAATATCTTTGATTAAATGTATTGCAGGTTAACTTTCTTGCCGGTATTGGAGGGAGAAAAGTTGATGAATCTGTTCCCCGTATGATGCAGCAGTTGCTAAACAATAACTTAGCTCTGCAATTTAATTGTCAGCGAGGGCAGTCAAAAAAGGTGCTGAAAGGAACTGAGCTATTTCAAGTAATTTATAGTGAGTATCCATAGTTTTAAATAAATTTCGGTAATATTTCTCTGCAATTTTGCTACTTAATACAAATAAACACATTGTAAATTAGATAATAATAATTAGATAACAAGATTGTATTTTTAAGATTCATTAGCTATTGGAGATGTATTATTTTTTATAGAAGTCTTAAAGCTTAACAACTGGACATCATCATGTACGATGAAAGACTTTGAATTATCACTTGCAAAATGGCTAGTTGGTGCTCTCGATCGAGATGGAAATAGAGCTAAGCGTGGGGAAGCGAAAAAACACCAGAACAAGCTGTAATTTTGTCATAAATTTTTTTATGTATAATATATTATTTACAATAATAGGAAAAAAATGTTATACTCAACATATTGTTTGTTTTATTCTAAAAAATATATATATGTGAGAACGTAGGAGTTAAGGTGGTTGGATCCAATACTTAGGTTAATATCAAGGGTTTTAAATAGGTCACGTTATTAGTTTATTGGTTATGGAGTAACTATCTAAAGAATCATTTAGGTGCCCCCCCCCCCCTCCTCCAAAAAAAAAAGGAGTTTATTGAGGCTAATATGGGCTAACCATAAAAAGTTCTATATGGGCCATAGTAGGTAAAAGAATATAGGAGTTTGATGGGTTCAATATGGGTTAACCATAATAAGTTCTATACGGGCCAAAGTAAGTAAAAGAATATAGGTGTTTGTTGGGTCCAATATGGGCAGACCATAAAAAACCCTGTAAAGACAATATGGGCTAACTATATGGGCTAGCCCACATAGAACCCATTGATAGACTGCGGACAAACTTTTATGGGTCTCAGATAGGCTTCATACATAGGGCCTATAAAACAGCCCACATGGGTCCTATATATGACCCATGTACTATTGCTAACTGGGTATAGAAATAATTTATTATTTTGCAATCATTTGGAAGTAATAATAATAATAATATCCTATAAATGATAAAATACATTAATGGACGTACCCAGTATTATTTCATTATATTATTTATCTTTACATTTAACTTAGTTTTCATTATTTAGTTTCTAAATATTCTATTTCTTTTCTAAATAAATACTGTCGGACGTACCCAAACACATACACTCTAATATACAAATTAATAATTTATAATATTTAAAATTTGTTTAATTTTAATGGCAATTTTGTTGTTTAAAGTTAAAGACATTTGTTCAGGTTGCACAATTTTCTAAATAACTTTTTGGTTAATTGTAATGCTATATTGATTGCTAGCTAGTTAAACACATTTATAAATTTTTCACACAAATTCATTAATTACTTCATTTTATGTATATCTCAGGTCTCAATCAAATGGAAATTGTCTGAACAGTTTTATCTCCTTATGTATTACTGAAATAACTGTATAGTTAATGATTTAAGATTACAGACCTCAATTGAACTATTCTTAAATGCCGAATTTCATTCTAATCACCCAACTTTTCATAATGCTTTTGTTAATAGTTTTTGTTACTAGCTCTTTTCTATCCTTTATAAGTATCACTAAGTTCTTTGCATTCAGGAAAAAAAGGTATAGATTTAGTTCAAGAAGATGCTGTTAATAATTGTAATAATAAAAATTGTTCGTCTTTCCTTTGTATTCCAGCGTTATCAAGTGTTTGCAATAAGAAAATAGAATGTTTGTACCAAATTTTGGTCTACATAGGTTTAAAACTTTATTCAGTTCTACTTTTATACTTCGTATAACCTCCTTAAACAATATTGAATCTTTTTATCTCTTTTTTTGTCATGAAGGTATTTTATATAATTTTTCTGCTCCTTTCCAACACAACCGTTATACCCCTGTGATAAAAAAAGAAAACTTTAAAGAAAAAATTTCAAATGAAAGCACCAAAATGTCGCAGGCTAAAATAAAATTATATTTCGAGGCCGAACATCAACATAGTACATCAAGTAGTCTTTTATTAGATAATATAAAAATGAAACCAATGAAAGTTTTCACTCAACCACCATTATCATTATCAAAGTTTTAAAAAATTTGTTTTGAATCATTTTCACCGTCCAATAAATATGATATTGGTTATTTGGTTTCTAACTATTCAAATGTTGCAAAAACCTTACGTAATTCTGAACTTAAACACTTAGTTAAATCTTTTTTTGTACCTTGTAAAATATTTTCTTTTCCTAAAAATCTGAATGGGTTAAATTTTCAGTTTATGTGGATAGAAATTTCCATGGCTCTCATATTCAAAATGTACTTTTTGGGTGTACTTTTGTGTACACTACATGTGTACTATTTGGGTGCCATTTTCAATATGAATGTAGTTTAGTCGAAAGATTGTTTAGTAAGCCTTTTGATGACTCGAATGTAGCTTCTCGTTACTTTCAGATACATGCATTTGACAAAAGCAATGATAGGTCTGTCTGCAGAAATAAAAACTTACATGTAAAAAATGCTGAAGCTTTATTTTCATTGTTGTCCAGTTGGCCTTTTAAAACAGAATCATTAGATATTACATCTCAAAAAATAGTTTAATCACAGATTTCTAAACACCGACAGTTATTACAAACAATTATTGAAACAATTATTCTCTGCGGGCGTCTTGGTCTTTCTTTTCGAGGCCATAGAAATGATTAGGAGTTTCATCCTAAAAACGGCCAGTTTTCTAATCATACTGTAGGTAATTATATTGAATTGTTACAATTTTGTGTTAAAGCTGATAATAAAGTTCTATAAGATCATCTTAAATATCATCAATTAAATGCATCTTATATATCTAAGACATCACAAAATCAGTTAATAAGGTGTTGTAAAAAAGTTATTACTGACACAATAGTAGCAGAAATTAAAAATTTTAAATACATTTCTATTATTGCTGATGAAGCTTCATACAGTTCAAATAAAAAACAGCTATCATTAGTTATACGATTTGTTGATTTGAAGTTTAATACAAGAGAAAAATGTATCAGTTTTTTAAACTGCACAAATGGTGTTACTGGTGAAAGATTATTTGATATTTTGTCAAAAAGTATTTCAGATTTTTATTTAGATTTCATGAATTGCAGAGGACAGTCATATGTAATGCTGGAGCAATGGCTGATCATACCAAATGATTGTCCTCTCGCATTTTAAATCTAAATGAAAAAGCTTCGTTTGTTCATTGCTATAGCTATAGGTTAAATTTATCTATTTGTGCCTCGTGCAACGTGCAACATGTCAAGAATCTTCTGGCACATGTTAAGGAAGTATCATATTTTTTTAATCTTTTGCCTACGAGACAACAAAAGTTGGAGGAGCATATCAAAAGTACTGTTCCATCTGCTGTTAAAAAAAAGTTAAAAGATTTTTTCAGGACACGTTGGCTGAATCTATTTTTGATTATTTTAAGTTTCCTTTGTTAGACCATCTAAGTGTTGAGCTAGACACAAGGTTTGATGATACTACCTTAAGATCTTATAACGTACTTGTGCTTGTTCCTATTAAAATGATTTCAATAGTGCAATGTTCTTGTGACACCAGTTGGAAAGACTTCACCATATCTTTTAATGACTTTTATGGAATAGATTTACCGAATCCGCTTGGTTTGTCTGGTGAGCTTGATTTATGGGAAGTCTTCTGATTAAATTTTAAAGGAGATGTCCCTTCTAATATTTCTGAGACGGTAAAAGCGATAAACTTTCCTGATTGAAAACATAAAATTTTGTCTAAAGTTACTTGCTACCTTTCCATTAACTTCATGTGAGTGTGAGCGGTCTTTTTCTTCGGCGTCTAAAAAATTACATGCAAAGCACCGTGGTTCAGGACCGCCTAAATGGTTTAGCATTTATGAATATTCATACAGAGATAGTTATAGATATCAAGAAAGTCATTAATAAGCTTGCTGCTATTAATCCTAGAATAACTTTTAAATAAAATTAAAATAAACATAAAATATATTTTTAAAAAAATTAAAAGTATAAATTTAAAAAAAAAAACAAATTACTAAAAATAAAAACAGAACAAAAAATGTCAGATTTATTTGCCACTGGAAAAAAAACCCGGCTGTTTTCATAGCCACAAATCTTTTTAAAACATTTATTGGCATAAAGAAATTATTGGCATACATTGTGTAACGTACGTTGGTTTCAGATATATCGTTGTTACTGTTATCATTCTTTGTTAATGCTATGTTGTAATACTTATAATTCCAGCTGGCACACAACGTTGAACTAACGTTGTATTTATGTTAATTGCGTTTTACGTTACTTAACCTTTATCTAACGTTGAGTCAACGTAATCTTTTTAACTTAATTTTCTTACGTTAAGCTAACGTTGACACAACGTTAAAAAAACATACAAGAATTAACCTAACATTCGGACGTATGTTAGTTAACATAAAGTTAAACTAACATACGGACAACGTAATAAAAACAATCAAAAAAAAAAGAAATTTTTCAGCGCGGCATTGGATTGATTATGTTTAGTTTGATAGCAATAACTTAAATTTGAAGATAATTAGAATGTCTAAGTTTGAAGATAATTAGATAATTGAAGATAAATAATGTCTACGCTTGTAGATAAATAATATCTAAGTTTGATCTTAGAATATCTTTACCTCATATAACTTGAAAACCACTTGTGATATTTTTGAAAAGTACTTGAGATTAAAGAGCATACAAACTGTAAAAATGTTGATTTGTTGATAAAAGATTTAACTAAAGTTAGTAAAAGGTGTAGTAAAAGGTATTTTTTTGTTGTTGTTAAAAGGTGTTGTTTGTTGTTGTTGTTTGTGTTGTTATTTGTTGTTGTTGTTGTTGTTGTTGTTATTTGTTGTTGTTGTTGTTGTTGTTATTTGTTGTTGTTGTTGTTGTTGCTATTTTGTTGTTGTGTTTTATAAATTGTAGGACAGGTATTGATGTGTAAAATGTTTTGTTATGAAATATAATAATCTTTTATTCTGAAATAATTTCTCGTATAGTAATTATTCTGAAACAATTATGGTATATAAAAAGAGAATAGTCAAGAGAAAAATCAAATTTTAAGGGAATGGCGGGAAAGAAATTGAGTCCTAAACAGTTTATTTAAAAAGAATTTTATTGATTTCATGTCTAATTTAGTTCTCTAAATTTTTAGTTTTATAAATACCTTTTTTGTTAAAACCCAAGTAAACAGATAATTTTATATATATTTATAATAAGTTTTAGTTGTTTACTTTATGTTAATATGCTTTTTATTCTAGAAAAATGGATTTAATACTGTTTTGCCTCTGAATTTTATCCTGATTATCGAAGGTAATTTGAATTAATATTGTTTTTCTAAACAAATATTTTAATAGCAGTGTTCAAATACAGTTCTTTTCATAATTACCATAATTACCAAGCTCTATCGAAATTATTCACGTGTGTTTAAATTTTGATTTTTGGAATTTGGGCAATCAAATTAAATTCAATTAAATTCAATTAAATTCAATTTAATTTAATTAAATTCAAAATTGAAAATGTAATTGTCTTTTTGCCTTAAATTCTGTATCTAATCAAATCCTTTCAAAATAAATTTAGAAAATATCTGTCTTTAATACTTTTAGTGGTTAATCTGTAATGTACAATTTCTTTATTGAGAAAACATTGTTCAGATAAGGTTAGGGTCAGGGTTGATATAATATTATGATATAATTGATAAAGATGAAATAAAGATGATTTAATTGCTGAAAAAATGCAATGATAATGCTGAGATAATTAAACAGAAAAAACAATTTTTATTATTACCAGTGATGGAGTGGCACTGCTATTAGGGTTTTCATTTTTACAATTTTTCTTTTTTTAATCTCATTTGAATTTTTATTGGTTTGTGCTACTATTTTAATTTCCTTAAATTGGATAAAAGTTTACAGCTTAATCTCAAATTTTAATTTGAGCGAGTAATTTGTCTTTTTTAATTTAATATTTTGAAATTAAATTAATAGCTGAAACTTAATTTCATTAAATTGCTCATATTGCTTATCTTTTGACAAACTAAGTAAGATAAATAAGCAGTTTATTTAAAAAATGACATTTTCAACTTAAAAAATCCATTAATTGAGCTTCTGTTAAAGACTTTCTATAAATGAAAGTTTTAAAATACATTTTACATATACTTTATTATTTTGTTCCTTTTTAACGTTCATGTGTCTTCATCAAGCATCTGCCATGCATTAATAAACGCTAAAAAGAAATAAAATAATAAAGTATAAGTAAATATATTTTAATATTTTCATATATAGGAAGCATGTGTTTTCATCAGAAGTTCAAATATAGGATCATAATGTAAACATTAGGAAAGTCTTTCTATTGGTAAATTAAAGCCAAATAATATATATATTGAGAAAGCAAGAGTTGAGTAAACATTATTGTTTACTCAATTTTATGTTTTTTTTGTTGTATATTTATTGTATATGCTATGCACATAACACATACTTTTTGTATATTCATATTGTTATTGTATTTTAAATATTTATTTGTATATTTGTTTAGTTATGTCAACATAATCTAATAATCATAGTACTTTAACTTTGACCTAACAAACTAAAGACAAAAAAACAATATTAACAATTTTTTGCTAACTAAAATTTAGCTTTGACATTAAATTATCCGAAAAACTTGTCATACTTTATTTAATATGTTTTATATAAATTTTTACTTTATGCTAGTTTTTATTTTAATCTAGTTTACTATAGCTAATAAACACTAGCAAGTGTTTTTACTTTCTTTGTTTTTCTTTCCAAAAAATATTTTCAGCCTTGCACAATTACAACTACATTACTGACATTATAATACTATAATGTATTTCTCTATTGTACTTTCTCACAATCATGATATATAGTTCAGTTTCTTAACCAAACCAGGTTGACTATTAAGTATTATTATTTATTTAGACTTGCAAATAGCTAACTGTATATTTGAGATAAACACATAAAAATTTGAGCCAGCATGTAAAAAACTAATTTCAAAGTAAATTTAATTTAAAGTGAGTATTATAGCATCAACTCTTATATTTTATAGTATTAATTCTTCAAAGTTTAAGAAATATAAGAAATATAACTCTTTGAAAAAAGTGTTTTACATGTTTTTTCTTTAATAATATATCATTTCAATTGACGAGCTGTAACTTGCATTTCTAGTTATTTGGTGTTTTAAAAACTCCAACGAATGTTCCAAGTGAGATAAAATGTGGTGGTGAGTATGTTTACCTTAGTATTTCAAATGGCATTTCAAGAACTTTAGCAGTCAACCAGCATTATAAATATGAATCAAATACAATTTCTCTAGTTGTCAATATAGATGGTCTTCCTTTATTCAAGTCATCATACACACAGATTTGGCCTATTTTGCGTATGTTCAATAAAGGAACACCATTTATTGTAGCATTTATTTGTTGGCAATAACAAGTCAAATAATCGTGATGAATATTTTTATGAATTTTTGCATGAGTATCAGTTTTTATTGGAAAATGGTTTTCAGCATAATGGCCAAGTACTAAATATAGAAATTTCTGCCTTTGTGTGTGATGCCCCTGCATGACAATTCTTAAAGGGTATTAAGGCTCATAGTAGTTATCATGGTTGTGAACGCTGTGAAGTTAAAGGCACTTATGAAAATTCTAGAATGCTTTTTATAATACTGATTGTATTTCTACAGATGATGATTCATTCCAAAATGATATGTATATTGGTACTCATCAAAATGAAAGATCAATACTATCTGATAAAGGAATTATATGTGTTACAGAGTTTCCTTTAGACTACATGCATTTTGCATGTCTAGGTGTTACTAAACAAATTTTGTTAGCTTACAAAGAAGGTCTGCGAAATTAAAAATTGTGTCCAACACAACTGAGGCAAATGTCCGCAAAACTAGAAGAATGCAGTGGGAAAATGCTATCTGATTTTGTAAGACACGTAGCTTAAGTGATTTAAGAAAATGGAAAGCAACAGCATCGACATTTTCTGCTGTACACTGCTTGTTTAGTGTTGAAAGATGTTCTTTCCTCTGAAAGCTATAAGCATATTCTCAGTTTTTCTCTTGCAATGCGAATATTTTTTTAAGTTCTGAAATCCGCAACAACTTTTCTTGCTAAGCCAAATATCTTTAACTAAGTTTTTTTTCCACTTCCATTGATATATTTGGCCCTACATTCACTGTTTATAATGTTTACTGCCTAACATATCATTGGTAAGATAACAGAAAATTCTCAACTTCTTTAGATAATATTTCCACCTATCCATTTGAAAACTACTAACAAGTTGTGAAAAATTTGTAAAAAAGGCTCAAAATCCTTTATCACAGATTTTTAAGCGTACAAGAGAATTAGAAAGTTTAGCAAGGAGCGAGGTAAAACCAAAGCATTTTGTAACAAATATTTCAAAGAGCGATAGAGATTCTTGGTATCTACTGCAGTCTGGTAATTTTGTAAAAATAAGAGAAGTCAATATTGATGATACGTATGAGTGCGACATAATTAAGAAACAACATTTCCAAAGCCTTTTTTTTTAACCATGTGACTCCAAGCTTTTTCAAATTGCTTACATTAAAAGCTTTGACAATATTTCAATATTAACAAGTTTTCTCTTTTAAGAAAAGCACTTTGTCTTCCACACAAAGAAGGTTTTGTCATAATGCCTTTATTACATAATGTTGTTTTAACATAAGTTAGTTTTCATATTTTTTGAATTTATGTTTAAGTAACATTTTCAAAGTAATTGATTAAGGTGTTTAAATTGTTTTAGCTGTACCTGATGTCTCTTTTTATTACTTAAAAAATATATTTTAGTAGTTTTTCTTTTTTTAATGTTTGTTAAAATTAAATACATTTTCTTATAAATCTTTTTTTTTTTTTTTTTTTTTTTTTCAGTTTACAATTATTAATCGTAATATAACAATATAACAATATATAAACTTGGTATCTGAAAGAAGATCCAAATGATCTTGTCGCCAGAACCATATAAAATATATCATACGTGTATATATAATAAAATAAAAATACAATTGATCAAATAACTATTAACAATGTAGAAGAAACAAAAACTGAAAATAATTTTACAAATTATCAAGAGTGAAAAAAAGAATTTTACATTTCAAAAATATTTATATATATTGCCAGTAGAAAAAATATAGTTTTTTAATTTAGTTTTAAAAACGGAAAACGAAATTGACAAATCAAAATTTGGAACAACAATTATGTTCCATAAATACGGTGCTCTATAGTTTATGCAAAATTGATTAAACTTTGTTTAACAAAAGGGTTCAATTAATAAATTATTATTTCGTAAAGCATATTTGTTTATAGCTTTATAAGTAAAAAGATCTTTGAAATTGAACAATGGTCGTTCACTTTTACAACAAAACATAAAACATAAAATATTGTAGACATTGAGTTCGTAAACGTTAAGTACTTTAACGTTTTTAAAAAAAATATTTGAATGAGAAAAACGGTTTTCGAAACATGTTAAACGCATTGCGTGTTTCTGACGATGGTAAAGATTTCGTAACTTACTTTTAGAGGTACTTCCCCAAACAATATTTGCATAATTTATATAGCTATAAATAAATGAGTCGTAGAGTTGAATTAAATTTTGTTTACTTAGATAGTATCTGACCTTATATCAGGGTTGGCAAAAAAACCCAACCCAAAAAAACCCAAAAAAACCCACCTCAAAAAAACCCAAAAAAACCCAAAAAAACCCAAAGATATTTGGGTTTTTTTAAAAGTGTCTTTTTTTACAACAGGTAAATCTGCTTTTAGCTTTTTTAAACCCTATATTGTGAATAATATAAGATTTATTATTCCTTTATTATGAAATATATATATGTTTATTATATTTTTCAGTTCAAACTCCTTACAGAATAATCCATAATATGATTAATCATTTGCATAGCTGGTTGGAGTAATACAGAAAAAACAATTGGTGAAAATCAGTTTAAAGAAAAAGAAAAATCAATAAAGAATACAAACAATATTTCTTTAAATTACCAAAGCTTTACAAAATTGTTGTTTACCAATCAAATTCTTCGCCTCTCAAATGTCTATATATCCGATCAAGCTTTTCAGCTCTATCGTTTCCTAACCTATTTCTTAACTTGCTCCACACAATACCAAAAGTAGAAAACACTCTTTCTATGGAGCCAGTGCTTGCAGGACAACTATGAAGAGATTGAAAAAACTTTGCAAACCCTTCTGGTAGTGGTAAAGACTTTTAATGCAGCTTTTGCTTCATATCTATTATACCCCACCATCTTTCACTTGAAATTGTAGCAATAAAGTTATCGTTAAACATGTGCTGTGAAAAGGTAGTTGTGACTTTTAGCCTGAAATCATAGTAACCAGCCAAGTATTTATTGTGCCTATCACTTAGCCAAGCTTCTGCAGCAGCTTCTTGTTCAATGCTTAAAGATTTTCCTAAAATTAAAGAATACTATTTTTTTGTTTTATATTTTATAAATGAGAAATAAATATCCTATATGAATATTATTTATCAGTCGTATATTGTGTCTGTAGTCTAGAATAGACTAATGTGTTATGTAAGTTAAAAAAATGTAGTTTTAAGTCTGTTCTTTCAATTTTGGGGTTAGATTTTGTGGCCATACCTTGGTATTTAATATCAGTCAAATTTGCCAAAAAATAAAAAGGTTCCATTGCTTCATCAAATTTTAACTTAATTTCAATATAAAATGGCTTCAGGTCTTCATCTTTCAGGAGAGACAACCAAAATTCACATGCATCTGACAATGATGTTGAATCACTTTGTCGCTATATATATAATTTTTTTTAAGTACCTATATAAATACTTTAACAGTATATTGAAGCGCAGTTTACAATATTTTAATGACTAATAACGTCAATTTACATATCTACCTTATCTAAAGCTATCTCACATTTCTCCAGTTGAATTTGAAGATTTTTAGCTTCCCTGAAAATTGCAGCATTATCTATAATTTTCTTGATATTATGTTTAATATCACCTTCATGCTTCTCTATAATATCAAGATAGTGGCTATAATTTTTAATATAAGTCTTTAAACAGTCTACTTGAGAGTTCCATCGTGTATCATTAGGAAGTTGCGGCATAACTCCATTCCTATCATCCAAAAGCCATCCCTGAAATTAAGAACTAGTTCAATTAGTTGATATAATAATAAAATTTACTGAGTAAATGAGTAAAAAAAATTGAAACTGTAAAATTAAAACAATATATTATAAACAATATTTACTCACACGTGGTTGGTGATGATTACAATATTTACTCACACGTGGTTGGTGATGATTACAATATTTACTCACACGTGGTTGGTGATGATTACAATATTTACTCACACGTGGTTGGTGATGATTACAATATTTACTCACACGTGGTTGGTGATGATTACGGAAGTACTTGTTAACTTCAATTAAATGTGCCAGAAAACTTGGTGTCACCTGCTTCTCAACTAAATTTAAGTAATGAGCTGAGCATCCATATGTAAGTAGCAATGGATATTCCTCTTTAAGAATTTCTTTCATCTTTTTCATTTTGTTCTCGTTATCTGTACAAATGGCAAATACCTGTTGGAAGTAGACAAATATTCTTATATTTTTAGTTAACTTAAGTTAAAGTAAATACTATGATACAGTATTATTATACTTACATCTTGTACATAAACCTTCTTGATGTGTTTTATTGCTTCAATGGCTAATTGAGCACAATATTCTGAAGTTTTTTTTTCACTCCCGGCATCTATAGCGGAGATTAAATATGGGGTCTTTCCGTTATGTACACTGTGAGCAATAATTGGATAATTTCTGACACTGCTCCAACCATCTTGTATCAATGTAATAGTACTCCTATTATTTGCAAATTCACTTTTCATAGATACAATTACTTCATCATTCACTTTATCCAGTAACTCTCTTGAAAGTTTCTTCCGGTTTGGAGGATCATAACCAGGTCTCAAAAAATTAATACATTTTTTAAATTCTCTATTTTCTACAGCATTAAATGGAATATTGCAAGCAAAAAAAAATTTGGCAACTTGCAAGTCAAAAACATCCTTTTGATCTGAGCTTGTTCTTGATATGTAGTTTTCTATTAACTTTTGTTTTTTATATGGGGTAGGTGTTGAACCAGAGTAACTTCTCTCAAAGACACCAGAAGTGCTTGATGCTTCAAAAGATTCTGAAGCAACTGGGCTAACAAAATCACACAAGTTTATAGATGCCTGAGATGATACTTGACCATCTTTTAAAATAAAATTTTTATTTCGTTCTGCAACATCAGCAGTTTTTTTTTTTTAAATTTATTTAAATGAATTCTAATTCTTTCTACTTTTTGGCTATTTATAATTTCATTGCAATAATTGCACTGGCACTGCAGTATTACTTTTCCGGAAACAGTTTTTGATAATTTAGTCACATCATTCCATTCACATGCAAGTTTCCTTCCAGATCCAGGAGCCATAATATATATTCTTATTAAAAAAAAAAATTTTCTAAAAATAAATTCTATTATGATTAAAATATAAATAAATAATGTTAACTAGTTTAAATCAGGAAATTCCAAAAAACTTTGCAGTTTTTAAAGTCATAACATAACTACATTTTCCTAAACGTAAGTGTCCAAGAGCTCCAAAAGTGGTTAGAGACTTAAGGTATTTCAACAATAAAAGTAAGAACATTTAGGGTAAATGAACTATAAATTTAGAAATTGAACTTTCCATCCTGGTTTATAACACATTGTATTTTTAATAAAAAAAATTTAAAAACAAAAATGGTTTTTAAATATCTAGGAAAGTATTTTTTTTTCCTAATAACGTTTAGTTTTGAAAAAACCCAAAAAACCCAAAAAAACCCAAAAAAACTCATTTGGGTTGGGTTTTTTCCAACCCGGCCTTATATAGAATTCCAATACTTTTAGCCAATTTAGTAGAAATATAGTCGATATGATACTTCCATTTAATATTTTCATCAATGTAAATGCCTAAAAATCTTGTGACCGACTCCTTTTTTATTTCACTTTTATCAACAAAAAGTTTAGGCAATTTATTTGGTAAAAAACGCGTTTTTGCAAGAGAGTGGAAAAAGATCCACTTTGTTTTGTCAATGTTTAAAGTTAACTTGTCGCACTTAAACCAGTTGGAGATCTGATTGAGTTCTTTATTCATATTTGAAAAAAGCTCATAAATGCCACTGTTTGACAGAAATAAATTAGTATTGTACGCAAAAATTATACTCATAAGGTTAGAAGCTTTATTTAAATCATTTATATAAACTAAAAACAAAAGTGGGCCTAGAATAGAACCCTGTGGAACACCACATTTTATGTGAATTAATTTTTCATTTTGAAAATAATCTCTAGAGAAAACAAATTGTTTTCTATTTTCCAAGTAACTTTTTAAGTAGAATTTTGTGATCGAACGTGTCGAATGCTTTTGATAGGTCAATAAAAATACCTAATGTATATTGTGATCTACCAAATGAATCGGAGATTTTACGAATGAACTGTGTAATGGCTTGTTCAGTTGAACAATTTTTTTTAAAACCGAATTGATTTTTATATAGAAGTTTATTTAGATTAAGGTAATTGTATGTTCTATTGTATATAATTCTTTCTAAAATTTTTGAGAAAGTTGAAAGAACTGAGATAGGGCGATAATTACTAATATTTGATTTTTTTCCGTTTCTGTATATAGGAGTTACTTTAGCTATTTTTAATTGGTCGGGGAATACACCTTGCTGTATAGATGCCCTAAAGACTTTATGAAGAATACATTTTAAGTTTTCAAAGCAATCTATGACTATGTTGCCATTTATTTCGTCCGCACCCGTAGCTTTGTTTCTTTTGAGAGATTTGTAAGCTCTCTCAAACTCATCAAAAGATAAGTCAGAATGTAAATTATCTATAAAAAGCGAATTATTTATAGGCTCTAGGAAATCACTAAAATCATTTTCTGTAATAGGGATCTTATTTGCCAATTTGGTTCCTTTGTCAATGAAATATTTATTAAACTCGTTTGCAATTTCGTTTGGTTCATATATATTTGTTTTATTTATTTTAATTACTTTAGCAAGGGAGTTTGAATTTATTTTTTGTTTTCCTGTTATTTCTTTCAACGTTCTCCAAGTATTTTTTGAGTCGTTTTTAAATTTACTAATTAAATTTAAATAAAAATTTTTTTTCAATTTTTTACGAATTTTTTCAAATAAATGTTGGTAATTTTTATATTTTTGTTGGTTTTCATTTGATTTTGTTTTTAGATATTTTATATATAGTTTCTGTTTGATTTTAGAGGATTTTCTAAGTCCTTTGGTAATCCATGGACTATTTAAGGTTTTTATTTTTGTTATTTTTTCACAAAGTGGAAAGTTTGCATTGTATATTGAGAAGAACGTATCAAAGAATTTATTATATATTGTATTTGCGTCTTCATTAAAGTTAATATGTTTCCAATGCAGAAGTGATAATTGATATTGGAAGGATTTTATATTGCTCTCATTGAAGACACGTTTTTTTACTATATTTTGTCTTTCGGGGTTATTAGAGGATACAGTATGGATTGTTAGAAAAATGGGGAAACGATCGGATATGTCGGTTTTTATAATTCCTTTTTTTAATTTCCTATTATAAATATCTGTTGTAAAAATATTATCAATCAACGTAGTTGAAGTTTTGGTTATTCTAGTGGGGCGATTAATTAAAGGAAGAGCTCCTGCCATAAGTATTTCATTATAAAAAATTTTTTATCTTTATTATAAATTAAACAGTTCATGTTGAAATCTCCAATTATAAAAGTAATTTTGTTTTCTTTGCTACCTTTGTGAATAATATTTTGCTGTAAAAAGAAACTAATATTTTCAGACGCACCATTAGGTGGTCTATAACAGCAGCTTAATAGGATACTATTTTTTTTATTGTTTAAAATTTCAATAGTTACGATTTCTTTATCACCGTCAGAAACGCACATACGATTCCTAACGTTATGTGCAATGTGTTCCTTAACGTAAATCAGAATTCCTCCACCGCGTTTATTATTTGTTTGTCTTTCTAATAAAATTGTTTTAAAACCTGGAAGAACGAAAATAGAATTATTTTTAAAATCATTCGAAGAAATCCACGTTTCTGTTAAGCAAATTATGTTAAAAATATTTTCAGTTTGATCTAAAAAATCGCAAAACTTTTCAAAAGTTGTATTTAGACTTCTTTTATTAATGTGAAGGATTCTGATTTTTTGATTTTCAGTGCCATTTTTATTAAGAAATTCTTTTAACTCGTTGGGATAAAAATAAGAACAACATGTGTTTACATCATTATAAAAGTTGACATCTGGATCTGAATTAAAATTTGATTTTAAGTACTTATCATGAAAATTAAAAGTAATGGATTCGTAGTCATCCATTTTTGTTTTTAAATTTAATTATAGAATATTAAAAGAATTCTTTTATAATTATAGGTCGCGCGTAATTTATTGTAAACTACTTTAGCAAACTTACCTTTCGCTCTCAATTCTTTTGCTTCTTTGAAAAGCTTTCTGCGTAAACCCATTGTAAAATCGCAAAAGTATTCGTTAACGTACAACCGTTTGTTCCATAGCTTCATCGTCGTATATTTGTTTAACACTAGGGCTTTGTCTTTGTAGTTTTGAAATCAAACAATTGTTGATCTGTTTTTTCCGTTTTCTTTTCCAACTCGATGGGCTCTATCTATTAAAATTTTTTCTTGTATATTAAGCTTTGTATTGAGGAAGTCTTTGATTTTTTGTTCACTTTCTTCCCAAGTTTCATTAGCTTTATCTATAATCCCAATAAATCTTAAGTTGTTTTTACGACTTCTGTCTTCTAGTTCTGCTATTTTCTCTTTTATGTTATTAGTTCCATTTTCAATATTACTTTCATCTGGTGATTTTTTAGACTCTGTTTTTTTTAATTCTGTAAGTTTAATTATTATTTTATCATAGCTTTTACTTATAAATTCGACAGCTTTCTGTACCTCAGATAATTCTTTTTTTAACGTAAAGTTTTCATCTTTTAAGTAATTAAATTTAGTTTCGATTTTTTCTATCCGATCATTAAAAATTTTCATCATAGTATTCTCGTGATTTTCAAGGATTTCTTTAAGTTGTGCTGAGGTCAATGTTATAAAACTTTTTATCGGCATAAAATTCTACCGGCTGAATTTTTACTCAGGAATTTTTACAGCCGTAAATTTAGCGACGTAAAATGTTTTTTCATTCAATGTTATAAAACTTTTACCGGCGTAAAATTTTAAAGATATCAATGCTCTGAATTTATTTTCGGAAATCTACTGTCTGAACCAATAACTTAAAAGGTTGTCAAAAACAAAATGTTTTTGAGTTGAAAACATCAAAGTTGACAAAAATTAACAGTTTCTTATGGATTCGGACTTAGGCTGTTCTGATTCTGATTAAAAATATTTTGTTGCTTTAGAATATTTGGCAAATCAGAGACAACCACGAGAAGTAAAAATGTCATACACCCTCATACACGTCATACACATTTACATTACAATTTCATATACATATGCTTGACCATAATTTAAACCATAAATAACT